AGGAATAGACGATAGGGATAGACGATATGAATAGACGAGAGGGATAGACGATAGGGATAGACGATAGGGATAGACGAGAGGGATAGACGATAGGGAGACGATAGGGAGACGATAGGGATAGACGATAGGGAGACGATAGGAATAGACGAGAGGGATAGACGATAGGGATAGACGATAGGGAGACGATAGGGATAGACGATAGGGAGACGATAGGGATAGACGAGAGGGAGACGATAGGGATAGACGATAGGGATAGACGATAGGGATAGACGATAGGGATAGACGATAGGGAGACGATAGGGATAGACGATAGGGAGACGATAGGGATAGACGAGAGGGAGACGATAGGGATAGACGAGAGGGAGACGATAGGGATAGACGATAGGGATAGACGATAGGGATAGACGATAGGGATAGACGGTAGGGATAGACGGTAGGGATAGACGATAGGGATAGACGATAGGGATAGACGATAGGGATATACGATAGGGATAGACGATAGGGATATACGATAGGGATAGACGAGAGGGATAGACGATAGGGATAGACGATAGGGATAGACTATAGGGATAGACGAGAGGGAGACAATAGGGATAGACGAGAGGGAGACGATAGGGATAGACGATAGGGATATACGATAGGGATAGACGAGAGGGATAGACGATAGGGATAGACGATAGGGATAGACTATAGGGATAGACTATAGGGATAGACGAGAGGGAGACAATAGGGATAGACGAGAGGGAGACTATAGGGATAGACGATAGGGATATACGATAGGGATAGACGAGAGGGATAGACGATAGGGATAGACGAGAGGGATAGACGATAGGGATAGACGATAGGGATAGACTATAGGGATAGACGAGAGGGAGACGATAGGGATAGACGAGAGGGAGACGATAGGGATAGACGATAGGGATAGACGATAGGGATAGACGGTAGGGATAGACGGTAGGGATAGACGATAGGGATAGACGATAGGGATAGACGATAGGGATATACGATAGGGATAGACGATAGGGATATACGATAGGGATAGACGAGAGGGATAGACGATAGGGATAGACGATAGGGATAGACGAGAGGGAGACAATAGGGATAGACGATAGGGATAGACAATAGGGATAGACGGTAGGGATAGACGATAGGGTTAGACGATAGGGATAGACGATAGGGATAGACGATAGGGATAGACGATAGGGATAGACGAGAGGGATAGACGATAGGGATAGACGAGAGGGAGACAATAGGCATAGACGGTAGGGATAGACGATAGGGATAGACGGTAGGGAGACGATAGGGATAGACGATAGGGATAGACGATAGGGATAGACGGTAGGGATAGACGATAGGGATAGACGATAGGGATAGACGAGAGGGATAGACGGTAGGGATAGACGATAGGGATAGACGATAGGGATAGACGATAGGGATAGACGATAGGGATAGACGATAGGGATAGACGAGAGGGATAGACGATAGGGATAGACGATAGGAATAGACGGTAGGGATAGACGGTAGGGATAGACGATAGGGATAGACGATAGGGAGACGATAGGGATAGACGATAGGGTTAGACGATAGGGATAGACGATAGGGATAGACGGTAGGGATAGACGATAGGGTTAGACGATAGGGATAGACGATAGGGATAGACGATAGGGATAGACGATAGGGATAGACGATAGGGATAGACGATAGGGTTAGACGATAGGGATAGACGATAGGGATAGACGATAGGGAGACGATAGGGATAGACGATAGGAATAGACGAGAGGGAGACAATAGGGATATACGATAGGGATAGACGATAGGGATAGACGGTAGGGATAGACGATAGGGATAGACGATAGGGAGATGATAGGGATAGACGATAGGGATAGACGATAGGGTTAGACGATAGGGATAGACGATAGGGATAGACGATAGGGAGACGATAGGGATAGACGATAGGGATAGACGAGAGGGAGACGATAGGGATAGACGATAGGGATAGACGATAGGGAGACGATAGGGATAGACGATAGGGATAGACGAGAGGGAGACAATAGGGATAGACGGTAGGGATAGACGATAGGGATAGACGGTAGGGAGACGATAGGGATAGACGATAGGGACAGACTATAGGGAGACGCTGCCCAGAAAAATACCGCAGGTCTTCAGAGAGCCTTAAAAACACTTAATATGATTATTATTAGAAACGTTTTAATTAAAAAAGTAAAAATAGGAGGTGTGATAAAGGTATTAAAAGGTGAAATATTGTCACATCATGTTATATCACCTCCACCATTAACCGTTAACCCTTCATGCATGCTTGATTAAATCACAAAGTCATATAGTAATTGTTTTATTTTTCGGTTTCTATCATTTTAAGGAGTTATGCATCTTCACACTGCAGAGGACACCATGCATCAAAGGTATAAAAGGCATTTAGGTAACACATAATAACTTTGAATGACTTCCAATCACTGGATTATCATTTGATGCCATGTCAAAAAGCTCACGTTTGTCCCTGAAACCGTCACAAATGCTGTAGTTGAACAAAACAATGTGCATATGGCATTTAAAACTCCAAAGGATGCACATTAAAGCTGCAGCGATTACTCAAATAACTGAATATTGACAGGATTCATCCACATTTTATCTAGAAAAATGTGCCTAATATGTGTCAGTTCCAGTTCCTTAAATGTCAATTTTACATTTAAAAGTGAAACAATACCTTTTGGTTTTATCAGACGAAAAGGACATGACGTTTAATGACATCATCTCTGGTTTTAGGAAACTGTGATATGCATGTTTACTCTTTGTAAACTAATTAATAATAATAATTGAGGTGCAACTAGGGATGAGAAATAAACAGATGTTATCTTGCATTAATGGTGAATTCCCATTATCAGGAGTGACTTTGAAGCTGTTTTAGTGACTGTTATGGTAGAAACTACAAAATAAAGACTGATTTAATAAAATAAAACTGGATTTATCATGTAAGAAAGAAGACGACCTCAAACCACATTTTAGTTTGGGCTAATAACGACTGTAAGGTGTTATTTTGAGTCTGTTGGTGTTTTTCTACACCTGGATAAAGTCAGTATTGTGTCAGCGCTCTGAAGATCTAATTACATTTTGATTCAATCATTTTTTCAGTGTTTGCATAATTCTCTCTGTTAGCGTAGCGCACGATGCTAAACACATGCTGCTGCTGCTATTTCAGGGTTTTGGCAACAGTCCTCAGGAAATACCAGGGTCTCTGTTCCCGGTATCATGTTTATGGGCTTTAGGATCTGAGTCTGTTCATATGTGAGAAGATGCTCAGAGTCTGGACAATGTTCCTCCTCCATGAAGAACACTTTTTAACCTTTTGTCCCGTAAACAATGAAACGTTCCTCCAGAAACCAGATGAAGCTTTCCACACATTTGTTTCCAAGGAAACAGATGGTTTAAGGTTTCCTGAGAGTTATAATCAGATCCAGCTCTGCTAAGTGTTTTCATTCCTCCTGCAGATGTAAATCAGGAGAAGAGGACCCAGCATTGATGTAGCATGATGCTAACGTGCTACATCACTGCTGCACATTGTGTAGAAACGTCATCATGATTTGGTTTTTAAGTATGATTTAGTATGATGTAAGTATGATTTCTCTTCGGGGTCACGGCAATGTCTCTGTGCAGATGTGTATAAAAAAGTAAAATATAGAGAATGCTGCTTTTCTTGTGAAGCAAGACGAAGAAAGTAGTCCCTTGTAAACATGTTGACACCTTTCGGGTGAGTATAAGATGATGATATTCATGTATCTGTTAATTTTTTTTAGAAAACTGAACTTGTATAGACATTTTCTGTCTCAAAATCTATTTAGATATCTATATATAAGTTTGAATTAATTTACCATTATATTTAAGTGTTTGCCTGGTAGTGGCAGAGGAAAATTCAAACGTATGAATCTGTCCGGTAATTAAAAAATGAAGCCTTTAATTATTTGTTTTTTAACCATCAAATACATATTTTTTACATGTTTATTAATTTTATTTCAGGTACTACTTGATGCATATGCTTCTAATTAGTTGAATAAACAAATTAGGGCGGCAACTAATGATTTATTATATGATTACATGGGTTTAATCCACTCATTTTAAGATAAGAAAATGTCTGGAAATAGTCAACAAAACAACAAACAAAGCCCAAATATTGTTTGTTGTTCTTTCCATTGTAAATCTGAATCTGCACTTATCAAACACATACAGTTTAGGACTAAAAAGTACAATATATGCCTCTGAAACGTTGTGTAGTAGAACAGAGATGTAAGTACTCAGACCATGTACTTAAACGTTGTATACCACAGATAAATAATACTCTTTCTCCACTAACAAGTACAACTCACAGCACAGACGTTTTAGCATCAAGTCCAAAACTAAAAATACTCTGGACATTTTCAGAAAAACACATCATGAATAGCTGGATGTTAGTTCAGTTTTTAGTTACTTGCACATCTCCAAACATTCTCTTGCACTATTTGATCTGTTTTATTTGTTCTATGTCCTATATATATTCATGTTGCTCTGTTGGACGAGGACTTCAGTTTTTCATTTTCACATCTACAATTCAAATGTTTTCATATGCTCAGCAGCTACAGAGTAGAAAAGGCAATGAAATTCTTCTGACCTGAGCTCCTCCAACAATGCATGTATAATAAAATACAAATAGTGCAATAAGTCTATATACATGTAAATAGAATTTGATATGTATGTACAAGAACAGAATGTGACATTTAATAATATACATTAAGACAAAATTACGGTTTATTGCGCTGATAACTATTGATATAAATAAGTAGATTGCAAGATGACAAACAGATGAATGTCTTTACAGAGCTCAGGTGTTTGATAGTCTTATTGCCTGTGAGATCAAACTGCAGCTGCTGTGCACATGACAATACAGCTTTGAAACTTGAAACTTGAAACTTGAGTTAGAGTTAATTGTTGGTTTCGGGGGGCTTATCACTCACCCAGCAGCCCCTCAAACTGCTCTATGGCCAGCACCGCGTTGTCCTGCGTGCTGTGGTGGAGGTGGTTCGGCATCTTGGTCATGTTCCAGGGCATGGACCAGCACAGCGGGATCCGCACCTGCTCACAGGAGGCGGCCCGGACCTCCACAGCCGGGAACAGAGCGAGGCAGGCGGCCAGCAGAGAGACGCAGAGCCCCGGGGAGAGCATGGCGGTGCGGAGACGCGCAGGCGCGGAGGGATATATAGATCCAGATAAACTCCTGCGGAG